ACCAGAGCTCCTAAGTGTATATTAGCTTTATGAAAATGTTTGAACTGTTGTGAGAATTACCAAAATGTGACAGAGACATGACATGATCACATGCGATTGGAAAAATGCGGCCAGTACACTTGCTTGATGTTAGGTTGCCACAGACCTTCAATTTTGGGGAAAACCTCCTCCATATCTATGAACCACAATAAAGCAAAGTGCAGTAAAACATTTATGCCTCTATTATAGTGAAGTTAATATCAATGTCATAGCAATGAAGTTGATGTCTTAACAGCTGTCAGGTGCACATGCAGTTCATTTGTCACATCATTACAGCTGAACATCGTTCAACTTTCCATCTGTTACAACTCCCTACATGGATACAGACTTCACTGTAGAGCAGGACATAGCCTGTTATATGGCATGTTTTGAACAGTAAGTCATTAACACAGTAAATTACATGCTGCAACACTATAGTACATATTACTGAGGATTTAAAGAAAAAGAAAAACGCACTGCCATCGCATTGATTGTGACTCATAGCGACCCTATAGGACAGAATAGAACTGCCCCATAGGGTTTTCAAGGCTGTAAATGTTCACAGAAGCAGACTGCTTCATTTTTCTCTCATAGAGCGACTGGTGGGTTTGAGTTGCCAGATTTGATAACTGAAACAGAGGGTAAGTAACTTGCCCACAATCGCAGCAGCGCAGTGAGTCTAACACTACACTATCTTTAGTACTATATTACTAAACCTGTTTTTCTTTTTTTTGTTAGCAACAAACTACCAACACAGTAGAAGAGCCCCTGGATCTCATCAGGCTCAGCCTGGATGAGCGCATTTATGTAAAAATGCGAAACGACCGAGAGCTTCGAGGAAGATTACATGTAAGTAAATTTATTAAATTACTCTAAAATCAGAATGCTTCCTGGTCATCCCTCTCCTGCCACACTGTCTTGAAATGTAAAAACTGTACAATGTGAAGTATTCTGAAATGTGAAAGACAACTGGAAATACACGCAAATTTCTGTAAGCTAAATATAACTGCTTTATTCATGTTTTTAACATTTTTTCTTTTAACAAAAATGTTATTTTAGAACATTTTTATTCCCTTTTGCTTATTTGTAAATAACATTAATTTTCCATTCTGATTTAAATTTTGTAAAAGTTACATGTACAGAGAGGTATTTTGTCATAAAAATTAAACATCACCAGAAGAACTAGATGGTGCCCGGCTACCACTGTCATCCACTTGGAAGGGATGTACGGGATCCTGCATAGAGA